CTATATTATCCGCATTTTACAACATTTCGCAACGAAACTTTGGAATATTACTAATTTTGTGATGCTCTTTCAAGCTGTGATGAAATTTTTGTCTAGATCAAAATTTAGTCTATTACGCAAATGGTCCATTGGAGGATTTGAAATGATATCTCATATGAATAAATCGTTATTTGAAGTGAGGTGAACTACTTTTGAGCCAGTCCAAGGACTGAATCAATATACTTCACTAGGTATCCAGTATTATTCTGTGAGCAAAATAAAGCGATATGGTTGGCTCATGTTTACTCTATGGCTCATGTTTACTCTTAGTCTAATATGGCTACTCATGAATCATCAAGATAGCTTTATCACTGTTCGAAACCATTACCTCCAGAGGTCAAAAGTTAAGATGGGAGTGGTCATGCCTATCACCCGAATATCGACACACCATCCATCACTACAATACTGATTGTCTGATAGATTCAATTGTTTATGTTAGGGACAAAATTTTAATAGTGATAATAGTTTTCGAATCGGATGAAATTATTACTTACATGCCATGTAGTTCTACGTTTGTCGGTGGGTTTATTGTTCCTTTTTCCTGCACAAAAACTGCCTAAACCAAAAAGATAACATATAAGTCAGACGTTTCTCATGAACTTATGAGAAAGAAAGCCATTTACATGTACATATGCCATTGACACTTTGAAATTGGGTGGATCAATGGACGCCAGGACGGTAATAATTTCTAGTCCTCTTAAGGAGTTATTATAAAGGTTGGGTAATTAAAAATGTCAACTGTTTTCGCAAGTTTCTCACGCTTGATATCATAAGCATTTTTCTATAAATACATTCCTAATCCTTGTCCTTGAACATAAAAGCATTCTTGTTCAACTTTACACAAAAATATAAAGCATTTCCTTGAAAATTTGCTGGCGCCATTAAGCATGGGTGTAAATCCTCTTACATGTTTCAAATCTGTGCTGCGATTCTTGTGTAAAGCTGGGGATTATAGCGAACACTTCCGTATTAAGCATGGTGAAATCCAATAAACACAATTGTCAGGTACAACAATCTTATCTGAATCATAGTATCAATTTTTAATTTAGGTAAAACATCATCAATTTGATTGATCACTGCTTGTTAATTGGTTACAAGTTACATACTCGACAGCAATATATCCGCGCCTGCACACAAATTAATAATTTAAATTACACATCACTGATCAAACAAAATGTAAATTCTAAATTGTAATTGGGTGTCCATTAACATCAAAATCTAATAGTTTTGTATTATCATGTAATCCATGTATTGAGTATAGCTATTTCAAGACTTTAAAAACCCATTAAGCTGAAATGTGCCCTTCTTCATTATTTTACTCTGTCTAACACCAGACAATCTTACTCATCAAGGAGAGAGTCTTGCATTTTAATGAGAGGTACGAACAAATATCTTCAACTTTCATATTGTGACCATCTGGCTGAACTTGTCCAAGAAGCTTAGGTACTATGTGATTTTGATTAAATTGACCCAATGCATGCCAGCACTCTGCCTTAATGAGTAAAACTGTCTGGAGTTAGACAGAGTAAAATAAGAAAGTAGAACACATTAGGGTGCAATGTAATTTAAAGGGTTAATGATTATTTCATGATGGGGGAGTGGGGGTCATTCAAGCATACATTGGGGAGGGGGTGCCACAAGAGTGTACAATGGGTCATTCCAGAAAAGGTCTACACTCATCCCCACGGAGGAAATTTCTGTCGTCCAAAGGGGGAGAGGAGAAAAATTTGTTTCTGATAATAGTGAGGGCATTAGGATATCCGAAGGGGTGGGGGGTGGGTTAACTTCCAATTTCCTCTGTGGGGGAGGTATGGTTGTTTTCTGCAGGGCCGCCGAGACAAATCTTCTCTGGGGGCCCCATGACATCATTATTTTTAAGATAAACCCAAGTCAATCACCCAACTAGACCTTAGATATACTGCATGTGGAGCTACTGTAAGGGGCCCTCAATTTCAAAAATGCTCTGACCTATTAAGGTGGGGCCCCGGGGCAATCCCCCCCTCTTGGCGGCCCTGGTTTTCTGGAATAACCCAATAGCATACCGGGGGGAGTGGGTGGGTATTACATGGATGGCTTCATACAAAATCCGTAAATTCATTCAAAAATATAATAATGTCTAAATATTTGTCTACTTCCATGATCTTTCTTTCAGCTCAGAATAATTCTTCCCATGCGGCTGTTCTTGACCGGGTGGGATCAATGCAAGAAACACAGGTGTCTCCGCGCCCTCGGCTGCAGACTTCGAGGCACTCTGGCCGGCCATGTCCGTTCGGCACCATCCGGGACAACACGAGTTGATGAGCACATCCGTGTCTTTATCATACGGACGATCTCGAGCTTGAATTGTAGTAAGGATGTTGATGGCCAACTTCGTTACGGCGTATCCTTTCATCGGCCACCCTTTCGACTCATGGTCACCCGTCTTGGCTCCCTCCACAAACTCCTGCACCAAAGCAACAAGCTCCGATTCGGTAAGATTGGGCCTCGTTAACTCGTTTCTCAAAGATTCACTCCTGATTATGCTCAACGTCCCCGCCATAGAAGCGACATGCACCACCCTGGCATGTGGATTGAGCAAAGGGAATAGCGATCTGCACACATTTAAAGTACCGGTAAAATTTATTCTCATCGTATTCTCTGCCACCTCGTTAAAAGGCGCTGTGGATTTCTTTTTGTACGCGAACCCCGCATTATTTACAAGCACATCAAGCCCGTTATACTTTGCTTTTATATAATCCCGAAGCCTTTCGATGCTTTCTTTGCTTTCAATATCAAGCTGGTGGAATTTAGGTGGGTTTTGGCAGCCTTCTTCGACCAATTTCTTGCACGCGTCCAAGCCGCGTTGCTCGTCTCTGGCTGTCAAGTAAACAATTCCATCAAATTTCGAGCATAATGCTTTCACGATTTCGTAGCCAATGCCTTTGTTGCCTCCTGTTACAACTGCCACACGTCGCACGGACATTTTGATGCTGATTTTAGAAGATTTAACGTTGAATTTTGGCCAACAAACGGAGGAATTTTCACAAACTTTCCCAGAAAATAGTTTTACTGGCATGCGTCAATGCGTCAGCAGAATTTGAGGAATGAGGCGAGCTCTGAAACCGAGGTTTTTTCACGTTACTTCACCGAGAGCCCAGCGCGCGAGGCATTATAATTTTTTGATTTGAAGAGAGAGAGAGAAGAGAGAGAGAAGATCCGCCATGTAAATCCTAAGAAAACTAAAGCCTCTGCGGAGGAGAGAGAGAGTCCGTAGATGTTGGAGGGAGATAATTTAACAATACACTGTAGTTTGACAGTTTTACTATTCTAACAAAGTACGAGCACAGAATACTATACATAATACCATCTCCATTGTTTTTTTGCGCAAGCGCTATATTCGTCATGATTCGTCACTCAGCAAGTACCGTGGCAGAAGCAGTCACTCCCCTGGACATGTGCCATTTTGAATATTTCCAGGGGGTGACTGCTTCTATTTACGGTACTTGCCGAGTGACGAATCATGACGAACAGCGCTTACGCAAAAAACAATGGAGATGGCTTCTGTATAGTATTCTGTGCCCGAGGCTGCTACACTGGGCGCACCAGAATTCGTTTCCAACGATCCGTACTTACAAAAGCTTTTCAAATAAATTATTTGTTGTATATTGGCCTTACTTTGGGCATCTTACTCAAATTTCGAGTGTAGATTTTATACATCTATTTTTAATATATACCGTTGTCTGGCAGGAATTGAATCTGCAATTCCAGTGCAGCACTTCAAAACCCAAATATTTTGGTCTCAGTGTACTGAGTCTGTAACGAGTTCGGGGGAAACAACTCGTCTATGGACACACGCCGAAGGGGTGTACACACTAACACACGTAAAAATCTCACAACTTGTCAACAAGATGTGTTTGTAACAGGCTTGTAGCAAGCTTGTCAACAAGTTGTAACAATGCTGTTGTTTCATCAATGTCAGACATCAAGTTGCTACAAGGTTGTCACTCACAACTTGTTGACAAATTGTTGAATTGCAGGACGATAACAAGTTGTTGAAACAACTTGTAACAAGTCTGTTGAGCTCAACAACCTTGTAGCAAGTTGTCAGCAAACCGTTGACAACTTGTCAACAAGCTGGGAACAAGCAGTGCGAACACATCCTGTTGACAAGTTGTTGGAACAACATTGCTACAAGTCTGCTGCAGGTTTGTTGGAACTGTAACCAGTCACTGAAAAGCCCTATAGGGAGTGTGCTGTGAAATATCTGTATCTGTATCTGTAACTTATGCGTTTTTACGTGTGTAGTCTATGTGTTTGTATTTTGGATTCAATTATATATAAAGTCCCTCGCCTGCAGTACGCAGAGGGTTGAGGGACCATAAAAAATTTTTTGAAAATCGGAGTACCCGGAGAAAACCTACCCCACCGCTGATAATGTTTGTTTATATTTACGGATATCGGTTGCAATGATTGTGGGACGTTATAACTATGTAACACAATACGTGCGCGCGCATTCGAGTTTTCTTTTGTCCGAAATTTTAAGTGAAAAATGATTTATCCTAGATAATATCTTAGTTCCAAAACATTCTTTTCAATTTGTGACGTTAGCTGTTCTTAATGCTTTTCCCAACACTGCCATGTATTTTATTTAAGTTAAAACATAGTTTTACATAGTTTTTGGAATACTAGCCCAATGCTCTTCCAACTGAGCTACGCGGTCAGGACGGTTCGAGTAAGTGATATTTCGGAACAGTATCTAGTTCCTTCAATACCAATGTGTTCTGGTAATATGAATTTTTTTCTGTGCTGGTGTTGTGTACTCAGGTGAATAATATGTTTGTGATGTTACTCTGAGTGCATATCCACACCGGGCGAGCTTGAAAAATATGCCCGGCCTCGGTGGGATTCGAACCTACGACCTTTGGAATACTAGCCCAATGCTCTTCCAACTGAGCTACGCGGTCAGGACGGTTCGAGTAAGTGATATTTCGGAACAGTATCTAGTTCCTTCAATACCAATGTGTTCTAGTAATGGGCTAGTATTCCAAAGGTCGTAGGTTCGAATCCCACCGTGGCCGGGCATATTTTTCAAGCTCGCCCGGTGTGGATATGCACTCAGAGTAACATCGCAAACATATAAAACATAGTTGTTACGTCGTCAAGTCACAGTTAATAGAATACATGGTTTGGAGACTCGATGAAAGTACAATATAACTCATTAATTAACCTGAGTATCAGGCTCTATTTTATTAGCCGCCGCCAATTAATCCTAGCGAATGAAAACATAAGGGCCTGATACTCAGGTTACTCATTGATTAACTATGTTGGTTTCGGTTTATGCAAGAATTTGGGCCTATCTCGTCACGTGTGTATTGTATTTTTTCCCGCACAACCAATAGTAATGTTTAAATTGAAGTGGTTAGCGCACTTGCCTTTCACCTCTAAGGCCGCAGGTTCGAATCTCAGTGACAACTTCTCAATGTGACTTGAACCCAGTCCTCATGTGAAAAGAGTAAAAGTCAACGCTCTGCCGAAAGTCGTGGGTTTTCTCCGGGCACTCCGTGTTTCCTCCCACAGGGAAAGTTGACAGGGTGGGTTAGGCACATAGGTCTGGAGGCAGATCATTAATGAGGTATGGACTAATAGCGGCAGCTGCACAAGCGCCATTTGTAAGCTCAAAGTGTACCTCGGTCTGCTTCACGTCAGTCCGGTTCTATCTATCTATTCATAATGTAACCAGTCACTGAAAAGCCCTGATAGGGAGTGTGCTGTGAAATATCTGTATCACTCTCTGTAAATTGAGCATTTGTTCAAGTTACGGATGGATAACTCAAGCACAAACTTGTTATTGGTTATTTGAGCGAAAATACAATACACACGTGACGTGATAGGACCAAATTAAATTCTTGCATAAAGCTGCTCCAAACCATCTATTAAAATAACTGTGGTCAAATGTTACATATAAACACTGAAATGAAAGTAAAAGTGGCTTGGAAATTTTAACTGGCACTTTTGTAAAAATGTTAGGTATACCCTGAAAGCAAAGGAAAAACTATCATGTGATTTTATTTTGTGTTTAATACAGGGGCGTAGGAACCGGGGGGCAGGGGGCCAGGGGGGCCAGGCCCCCCAAGTTTTGCCAAGTGCCCTTTTTCCGGGAGCAAAGTGCCCTTTTCTGGCGTGAAAAATGTCATTAAGATTGCATTTTTTTCCCAAAGGGCACTTTTGAAAACTTGAATCTGTGTTATTTCCGGAAAAAATTTTTCATTTCCAGGAAAGATATCCTATTATCTGGAAAATTTTTTGGTATATACGGAAAAATTTTTTCATATTTAGGAAAAAATGTGATATATCCGGAAAATTTTTTTGGTATGTCCGGAAAATTTTTTTTGAGATGACCTCCCCCCCGTCGCCAACATTTCCGGGAAAAAAATTTTAGATGCCCCTGTTTTTCGAAAAGTGCCCCTCAAAGCCTGCCCCCCAACTTTTAGAAGCTTCCTACGCCCCTGGTTCAATATATAGACCACAATAAGACTTTTTTTAAATGTGTTTATTACTTTATAGCCTGCAGCACACGATAGCTATCTGCTGAGCCAAAAGTTACTTGTGCACAGTAGCTGAGTCAATAGCTCACCGATCAAACATGTTTGATACACGAGAAAAGGTTGCATGAGGCATAAAACTCAGTAAAATGTACCCGCGCACGGTGAGCTAACAGGCACGAGTAACTTTTTGCTCAGCAGATAGCTCTCGTGTGCTGCAGGCTTTGCGAACTCCGAAATCGTGCGAATTTATATTATTCCGCAGGCCAAGATCACACGCTGACCAGTACCACAGTTTCAGTGGGCTCTTAAAACGGCTGTTCCTGGTCAGATTAATAAATGTATATCAAAATGCAGAATCTTGTCTGTCTGTGTTTCAATGTATCGCGCATATTATACTTCACTTGTACTTAAAATTTTATAATTATGGAGTCCCGCGCGTTCTACATCTCTCACTTTCTATTTCTAGGGCTTTCTAGTCCCAACGAGGGGACCATCAAAAATATTCTTGTTTTTAAAAAACAAGATGGCTTTTAACATCAAGCTGTCATTGATCCTTTAAACGACAAAACCTTCGGATTCATTAATGACGCTGTAATGATTGTTTATATTAAAAAAACCTGCTGTAATGATTGCGGTGCTTTGCCCACATGTACAATGCGCGCGCATTTCCGTATACATACAGTATCACAAGAAACCAAAACAGTTAAAAGGATATTTAACAAATATGAAACATTCCCGTGTTATATACAGTTATATTGACACGAGTGGGAATTGGGAAAACGAGAAATTGTGCGGAAACACGACGCCCGAAAGAAATATAAAGAAATAAATCTTCCGTATTGATATCAAAGTTGATACATATCAACACGGCTCTTAATTAATCGTTCAGAATTCACAAATGCTATATTATAATATCTATTGTATCTTAGAATTTAAAGATCTTATCTCTCCCAAGGAAATTATTGGGACGTACATTGAACTTGCAGTTGTCTGATTGGCTCGTTCCAGGAAAGATCCACCCTGCCCCAACTCTCAAGGAGGAAATTTCTGCCATTCGGAGGGGGAGGGGACAGCTTTTTGTCGGGATGGATATCAAAGTGAAATATATTCGTGCATGAAACGTCACGGCACAGACAAGATATTGTCACGGCGTGCACAAACAAAAACTCCACGGCAGATGGACATAACCAGTGCAATTTGCTGTTAACGTGTTAGACAAAATGGCAGATGCCAATCGGTTTAGAAAACGAGCATTTCGAAACGCATGAAGAGGACGAAGAAAGCCTCATTCGCTATTATATTTCCACAGAGGTTTTGATTAGGAAATCATTGCAATGTTCTCTTATTTCATCTAAGACGTTCCGAAGCAGCTGCGAGAAGCAAAACCATAGGCATTCCATTTTCAAGTCTGATGTGAGATCTACGACTCTGTTATATTCACCATATCTTTGAAAAGACTTATCCACCAACCAATTAAGCCTCTATTCGTTGGTTTCGCGGTGACGGCACATATCTGTGTAGAGGTGTGCAAATCCGATCCGATTCGTTCGGATTTCGGAACAAAAAGATTCATTTCGGATGGGATTGACAGAGGTCAAAGTTGTTTCGTAGTCGGATCGGATTATTCGTTTGATACTTCAATTGGACGTCACTTTGTCAGCTTCTTGACATATATTTCTTGCTTTTATATTTATTTGGTTAAATATTTCCACTTGAATGAGAAATTTATTTTATTAAAGGATTCTTCGGATCGGATTTTAAACATTAGCCGCAATTGTCGGATTATAAACGTCCGATCCGATTGGTGTAAATAGCGAGCAACATTTGACATTTGACATTTGATATAGTTAATATTAAGTTCTGTTATGGTTTATATAGACATTTAAGTGATGACATTTTTGAGTGACATTATAGGCGTTAGTTGTATCAGTATTTTGTAAGAGAGACACGCGAGAGTAAAGAGACGGTTTAAAGGACGAATAGTTAGAGAGATTAACGTAAAGTTGTAGTCAGAGTCAAGTCCTGCAGGGATCTACCCTTCAGGTACAGATGTTAAATTGTTTTATATGTTATATTTGTAGTATTGTGTTATTAGTCAATTTTACCATGTTATGTCGCGAAAATATGATCGGAATGCATGTGTTTTAG